CACATGAAAGACAAATCCATTCATCGGGCTCCTCATCTATTTTTGCACAACACCTAAAGGAAGAAAGTCGCGGATTACTTTAATTTCGCTTGGTAATTTTTAACAACACTATACCTGAAAAAAGGAAAAAACAAAACAAACCAAAAAAGAATGTTATACCAGTCAAACCAGTAGTAGCAACTCTCGCATTGAATCAAGTCGAGGTACCATGATTCTTTCGATTTTATTTCAGTTTAAAATTTATTTCGCCAAAACGAAAAAAAAAAAAAAAAAGAAAATGAATAAACGCATGAGTCGGAGCCATTCATGCCAGCGGTGAAATACAGGAAGGGCTCCAGTCTCTAGTCGTCCACCTGAACTGAGTCTGAACTGACTAAATGAGTTTAGCCAGCGGAACGAGTCAGCAGATGGAATATCGCTGAACTAGAAAGGTCTCCCCTTCGTTATGTAAGTAACCATCTCTTATTTGACACATCGGAGTTTTCAGTCGCACTGATATTTCACTGTTCCGCTTGGAGACACACGGTTAAACAATACTCACGTGCAAGGAGTTAAGATGTAACTTATTAACTTTTACTATTTTTATCATCCAATTACAGGTCGGAGCCATTCCTCTCTTTAGTCGCTAATTAACGCTAGACGCCATGTTACTAGCCTCAGTCTCTTGTTCAGTTCACACGGTATGTCCCAGCATTCCATTCGGTGCTCTAAATTTTTCCGAAAGTGGCTGAGTTGACGCCATTCTTGACTAAGGAAGGTTAGACATATAGATTTCGAGGAACTCTACCTGGTCACAATGGAGAGTAAACTGCCACCACCTGCCCAAGGTACAAATTTTTCAGTATTCACGTTATGGACTACTGTTCTTTTTCTTCTTTTCTTTTAAGCCTTTCTTTTTCTTTTGTCAATAAGGAGCAAGTTCTTCGACTTCTAATCCGCAGAGCACTACTAATTCCAGCCAAAATTCTCCTGGAAAATACGCAGAGCTTTTAGCGGTGATCGAGGAACTAGGAAAAGATATTCGTCCTACCTACGCTGGTAGTAAAAACGCCGCTGAACGTTTGAAAAAAGGTAAGACAATCGCTAGTTCAGAAAAATGTTTTTCTTATTGGCAAAATATGAAAGGTTCCTACTTGATTTCCTTAATTAAGGAAGCTATTACCGTGCGTTTACTGAAAATTTTAGCATTCGGACAACGAAAAGTTATCAAATAGTAGAACTGAAACAACAGATTTCAACGGATCTAAATGCAAAGTTAAAAATCGTTAACAAGAAACCATAAAATTTCAACTTTTCATCGATGTCCATCTGACTACGAATTTCAAACCTTTGAGTCCCCCTCTCGCTATACAAGTTTTAGGCATATTAAGGTTACATATTCTTATGAATTTCATAGGTATTATGCATGCCAGGGTGTTGGTCAGGGAATGCCTTGTTGAAACTGATAGATGTGCCAGACAGTAGCACCCACGACCAAGTCAGCACTTGTCAAGAATAAATCTCTGTAACGAAGTAGCAGGTACAAGAAATCTGAAAGATGAAGTTTGATGCAGGGGTTTTTGCTGCAAACACATTGGAGCAAAATTCCATGATTCAAAAGGGGATTCTTCAATATCTGAATTTCAAATTTTTTCACCTTAAGAGCTAATGAGAATTATAAATGGAGATGATCTAAGCAACAGAACACAATTCCCGAGGCTATATAATGTGATAAGGCCATGTGGGAGGCTGGGAGAACACGAGGAAAGCTTATAAATCATGAGCCAAAGGTGAGTGAGTTATAGGCTTTCTGCGTGTTCTCCCAAATGAGGACACAGGTAGATAATCAAGCAAGAACTCTTTGAGAAGGGCAAGTTTTGGTTCCTACTGTTTGAAGACATCATGCATATGCAGCCAGGTCACTGAGCTGTTTTTAAAATGATGACATTGGAAGCTTAACTGTTAGCACATTTGTTAATTGTTCTAAATGAAGGTCAGTGATCTGAAAGGGTTCTAAAAACACAATGACTGTGTCTACTTTTAATGGCAAAGGTGAAAATTATGAGATCTGCAGCTCACTTCTCCAGCACATTCCTTTTTTTTTTTTTGAGAAAGAAACAGAAATTAAAAAGAGCGAAATACATATAAATTATCTTATTAACCAAGCGCGAGGGCTGTACTGGGAGAATGTCAGCCCAAGGTCTTGACAGTACGGACGAAGCTGTGCTCAGTCCGTACAAAAAAGACAGAGGTTCATCCAGTACGGTCTCGAGCAAGCTTGTTTAATAAGAGATTTATTATACAACTGAAGTTCAAAGGGACAAGTGCGGTATCATTTGGGACAGTGCCCGGTCCAATACTTAGAGAATATTGGACCAGCAATAGAGCATTTTGATTGGTTGATTTTAGTTATTGGCCCTCTGACTGCCCGAGTCATGTAATAATTTTGAGTATTAATGAAAGGACTAAGTGTACCTAAACCATAAGGTTCAAACCTACAATATACTTAATAAAGATAACCACACTTTATGTAGTATTTATATCTTCAATTCTTTTATGTTAAACTCAACCACCTGGAATGTAAAGGACACCTTTATTTATTGTTAAGAGATGTACATGTATTAAATTGCCAGAGTTCAAGAGTGTGTTGATGGTTTGCTGCCAATTTTAGACTGCATGATGCATTAGAAGTTGTTCTGCTATTCATGGCAATAATACTTAAGAAAGTATTTGTTTCAAACTAAAACAGACCTGGACTGAGTTACATGACTAATATAACTATTCTTTTCTGATTATTAAATTGTTCATTTTCCAACTCTCTCTCGCAAGAGAACTGAAAATGATGTTAAAAAACAATCTCTAACTTTGTTCTTTTTAGTTTACACACCTTAACTCTTTCACTCCCAAGAACTCATTAGTAACTCTCCTTTCTATCTGCCATACAATTTATTTGATGGTGGAATCCCTTAATCGATAATTTCTTTATTGTCCTCACTTTTCTGCCTGATATTGTACTGATTCTGTGACAGGAGGTTCTGTCTTGGTCACATTTCACGGTAAGTAATTTTTGATGTATTTGGAAATGAAAAAAACCTGAAGATTGTGTGATGAACGATAGAATTCTTATCAGCCATTCTAAACAAATCAAATACAGTAAGTTGCTCAAGTTTAATTATAGTATTGCAGTACATTTTCAATTACCCCTTATTGCAATAGATGTCTCTTTTCATTGAGATAACAGATACAAAGAATTAGAGACCATTTTCAGTCTCAAGAACTAGGTTTGTGTCCCATGGATGTATGAGTTCTTTAACAGGGGTCACGAGTCCTTTTGGAAGTGCCAAATATAAACCAAAAAAATATTGGAACATCCCTGAATTGCAATAGGCCATTTTACCCACTTTTCCCCCAACAACTTTTAGCTTACAGTTAGCTAGTAGGTATGTTCTAGCTTAAAATGATTTCAGCACAATTTGTTTCTTTCTTGGTCTTGGGAGTCATGCTATGAATCTAGAACTTGTTAAAGTACAAATCAAACCAAAGTGAGACCTGTACAAGTGGACACCCTGCCTTAAGCAGTTGTCCCATATTCGGCTTCATTTATCTCTTTGCATTTATCGAGGTATTTTATAATCACAGGAAGTTCACTGCATTTCATATTGTATATTGTACAAAAGAGACATCTGTTTATTTGTTACATTGAACCACAAAGTACAATAGGCAAAACCCATTTCTTTGTCTCCAAAACATTTTTGGCCAACTCTGCAAATATCCACCTTAAAGAACAAGCACAACATAAACGATGCCCCCAACACGTCACTTAATAAAGTTGATGTTGTGACAGACTGAGAAGATAAGTTGCAATCATTGTGCAATTTACCAGTACCAATCTCAGCCACTGTATTATGCAACAATAAGGTTCCAGTTAGCAACATGTAAAACAAGGTAGACTCAGAGACAGATTTTTGCACAGTGTGTGTTTGAGGGCCAAAGGCATGAAGCGTTAAGTGCTGGACGCAAAAGATTCTATGGGGGTTTAAGAGCATGGTCACCTGAAATTTTGAAAAATTTGGGTTGTCTGAGACTGAACTTCCTGTGTTTTAGACTCAGAAGGTGGTTCATTAAATTAGTTTCCATTTCAAACTACATAATAAGCAAGTCAGGATGCAAGTACTACAGTTATTTGCTTTTACCTTTTCTATACTAACTTACTTCCTTTAGAATCACCAGTATCAAGTAAATAGGGGCCTCTAAGGGGATGCATGTGCACCCCTTGCACCCCCAATCTGTGGGCCTGCAAGGTTCACTGTAGTTTTAAGATATTCTTACCCCACTTTTGTTCTTAAACTACCAGTATACAGGATCTGGTGCACATGTACTCTAGGAGACAGTCAATTGCTCAAAAGAAAAAGGGGCTTTTTCACCAACTGAAGATAAACAGGGTCATTGTTAGTGTTAGTAATATTATTCTCTAAATTCTTAGTGAAGTTCTTTCTGTGGCTTCTGGACAAATATACTACTTTTCATCTTTTATCCAAATCTGATGGACTCTGATCTATGTTTTGTGAACCTTTAGCATGGGCTTCCTCTTGCTGCCTTCTTTTCCTTGCATATTTTGCTTTCCTTTTCCTTGTCTTTGCAATATTCTTTGCAACAGCACTGTCCTTTTCATTGTAAAGCAAGTCAAGTTTTTCTTTCAGAATTTCTCTTGAAATCACTCTGTTTCTTGCAAGTGAGCGACTCTTGTGGCACTAGAATAAAAGTTAAAAATCATTGGCACCTTAAAATTATTGTAACACCAAGGTATGCAACCAGCAAACTATGAACACACATGTCAGGTAAACATGACTCAACATGAATTCCCCAACCTCCATTGAGGTTGAACTACTGAAACTAAGGTCACTCTGAGATCATAACAGTGAAATCAGGCTCTGCATGGTGGTAAACATTTACAAGTGGCACTCTTATACAGAAGTTCAGCTCTTGTTTCCAGTTTCAAAGTTAGCTAATAACCCAGAAGTAGCCAAATGCAAATTACAATTTAGTTTCTACTACTAGCACTAGAAATGGTTTTCAGCCACACATACCATAATGATTCCATCTAGCACCCTCCTTCCACCGTATTTATCTGTGTATAAGTCAACCCCAATTTTCAAGGTCAAAAATTGGATTTTTCATAATTTCTAGCAGAGAAAAATTCAGATCGATAGAAATTTCCAAAATGGCCCATCTCTTACTTCAGAGAATGTATTGAAAACACTGTGAATTTAAAAAAACTGCAGAGCAAAATGCAACCGTGCTGTGAAGTTTAGTAGCATGCCAAAATTGTTCCCGTGTTCAAAGATGGAGATGGAACTGATCCTTGTAACTATCGTCCTATATTGCTCCTCTCAATATTTAACAGAAGTTTTGAAAAAATTGTGAGCAATTGACTGAAAGTATTTTTGAACAAGCATGACATAGTTTACAAGTCACAGTACGGTTTTCGTAAGCGATGCTCCACTGAGCATGCGATACTCGATATAGTCAGCAAAATCCAGGCTAACATGGATCTGGGTGTGTTCTCATGTGGAACTTTTATTGATTTGCAAAGAGCATTCAACACGGTTGACCACTCAATCCTGTTACATAAACTCAATCACTATGGAATTTGCAGAGTTGTAAATGACTGGTTTTCAACGTACTTGTCTGGAAGGGTCCAAACCACACAAATAGGATCCTACATATCCCAAAAAGAAAAAACCCTGTGTGGGGTCCCACAGGACTCTGTGTTAGGGCCATTGCTGTTTCTTATTTATATCAATGACATTTATAAAGCTTCAGATAAATTAGCATTTTATTTATTCGCTGAAGATACAAATCTGCTATTTGCTGACAGAACCCTTAAATCTCTTGAAACAGTGGTGAATGTGGAACTAATGAATGTTTATGATTGGCTAGCCTCAAATAAACTTTCTTTAAATGTGAAGAAAACCAATTTTGTCATCTTCCATCCCAGAAACGACTTAATTACAGAGTAAATCAAAAAATATATGATAACAACAGAAAACATTTCATTTGCCTGGAGTGTAAAGACTATGTGAAATATTTAGGTGTACTTATTGACGGTAACCTTACTGGAAACACCATATCAGTCATATTGCATCAAAAATAAGTAAAGGCATTGGTTAATTTGTAGACTACGGCATTTTGTACCATATTTGACATTACTAAATATATATAGATCACTCAC